TCCTCGCAGTGGTATGTAGAATCACTCACCTCCTTGGTCTTGCGGTCCTGGTCCTCTTTCCAGTGGGCAAGCTTGGCCTGGAGCTTCTCGACGGTGGCGGGGACTTCGTCCTGGCTTGATGGGGGGTCGACGCCGACCTTGGCGAGCTCCTCGATGATACCAATGTTCAGGTTGAACTTGCTGGCAGCAGCGCCGCCCTTCTTGCCCTTCTTTCCCTTCTTGCCACCAGTACCAGCCATGTAGCTCTCCTCCTCGGTGTCCTTCTTCGATATGCGAGTACCCTTTAAGCCCGAGTCGTCGACGGTGCGCTGGGCGGAAGCGGCGAACTTGCTAGCGGCGGTGGTCTCCTTCGCAGGAAGGGCGGAGGGGTCGAAGTGGCGGATCAAGCCCTCGCAGGCAATGATCTCGTCGCCGTAGGCAGGTGCGCTGGCTTCCTCGAGACGCTTGGAAGCAGTCTCCTTGCGCTTGCCGGCGACGTACTGGAGCTGCTCGAGGCGCCTCTTCTCGTTGCGGATCTTGCGCGCCTCGAACTCGTAGTTCTTGAAAGCGCGGAGCTGCTGGAAGTAGTTGTCTTTGAGCTCCTTGCGGGCCTGGTACTTCTCCTGCTGCACTGCGCGCGCCTTGTCAGTCTCCTCGCGGAGCGACCTCAGGTTCTTAAAGGCCTCGTCTTGCTCAGCCTTGAGTCCGTCGAGCTCGGTCTGGAGCTTGGTGTACTTCTCGGAGAGGGCCTTGTTCTCCGGGTCGTCCAGCAGCTTCTTCTGCTCGGCGATCTGGGCCTTGATGTCGTCGATCTTCTTCTGCTGCGAGTCGAAGCCGGAGAAGTTCTTCTTGGCCTTGTTGAGGGCGCTGATCTCGGCCAGGGCCTTCTTCTCGTCGACGAGCTTCATCATGCCGCCGTCGACCTGCTTCTGCAGACGGGCAATCTCCTGGTCCACATCCTCGGCCGACTTGTAGTTGGACTTGCCCTTGGCCGTCTTGAGCTCGTTGAGCTGCTGCTTAAGCTGCTCGTCGAGCTTCTTGATCTTCTCGAAGATGGAGTTGCGGCCGGACTTGTTGCCCTGCTGGGTCGAGCGGATGGCGTTGAGCTCCGTCTTGAGCTCCTGCTGGCGCTTCGCGTTGGGCGAGTCCTTGTTGTTGGGCTTGGCGAGGTCGAGCTTGGCCTTGCACGCGTTCTGGGTGTCGTTAGTAATTTTCCCGGATTGAGTGGTGGTGTGCGATGCAGCCACCCGTCAGCTCGTGGCCGTGCGACTGCGCGCATCACACGGGGACATGGACTCACCAGCTTCTCCTGGGCGGCGGCGTGCTCCTTCTCCAGCTTGGCGAGCTCCTCCTTGTACTTGTCCTCGTCGGGCTTGTCGGGCTTGACGACCTGCTGCTTCGCCGGAGGGGCAGCAGTGCCGTTGGTCGAGGCCTGGGCGGCGGGTGGAGTTGCGACGTCGGCCATGTTTGCTGTGCAGTCAATTGGGTTGAGGGCTGACTGGGCGTTGCAGCGGGGGAGAGAGGTCTGCGAGATCTGGGTAGACCGCCGAGTCGTGAATGTGCAGGCGAGGCGCGGAGGCGGTGGGAGGACAACTATTAAATTCGAGGGTCTCGAGTGAACCACGGATGCTGGCAACTTTTCCCGATGTTTAGCGGGCGGGCTAGTGTGCCGCCCGCAGTCTTGACCCTTCACTCGGGGCCTCGACCACGCACACACCAAACCACGGCTATGGCGGAACAATCGCGGGGCAGCATCCCCATTCTGCTGCTCAAGACCAAGTCAGTGCCCAAAGACACGTACGAAGAGCTGTTCCTTGAACTCGACAACGGCAGCTATGCGCCCGTCTTCGTGCCCGTTCTCGAGCACAGGTTCAAGCGAGATGCCCTGCGTGAGGTGCGCCAACATGTCACCAATCGCGGCTTCGTGCCACAAGCGCAGCAGGGTCTTGCGACATATGGCGCGCTGATCTTCACCTCGCAGCGTGCAGTCGAAGCCTTCAGCGAGGTTGTCGAGGAAATCCGTAGAGATGGCGCCCTCGACATCGACGACCTGCTCCCAGAGAGTCTGCCGCTGTACGTAGTAGGCCCAGCTACAGCTCGCGGACTGCGATCATTGGGTCTTAAGTGTCCAATCCTGGGAGAGGAAACCGGCAACGGCGAAGCTCTCGCTGGCTTCATCTTGAAGCATTACAACGCCCTTTATCCGGGTGTTGCGAATCCACCCGTACTGTTCATGGTCGGCGACAAGAGGAGGGATATAATACCAAAGACCCTGCAATCACAAGAGCTGGATCCAAAAGAGAGGGCGCGAGTAGATGAGCTGGTTATATACGAGACTGGAGAGATGCAGTCTTTCAAGGAGGACTTTTCGACAATCTGGCGCAGAAACGCGGATCAGGGCTCGAAACGGCAGTGGGTCGTTGTGTTTTCTCCAAGCGGATGTCAGGCCATGCTTGAGAGCCTTGGTCTGCTCGACATAGAGACTGGGAAAGCCAAGGCTACTGCTGATCAGAGAGACATCCTGATATGCACCATCGGTCCGACCACGCGCGATTATCTGAAGCAGGAGTTTGGTTTCACTCCTGATGTATGCGCTGAGAAGCCAAGTCCGGAGGGCATCGCCGACGGTATTCACGCCTTTCTCGAGAGGCACGAATAAGCAAACCTCGTTGTGGCTTCGTCTACGTAGACCGGGGTGCGTTCGATGAGAGGATGTACGATACGAAGGCCTTGTATATCAGCTTCGATAGGTTTGCTACGTCAAGCACGTGAATGCGCGAGGGTATTTCACGCGCTCTCAAATCATCGCTCATGACCGCTCGCGGCTTCCGTCTCATGGTCCAACGCTGCACGTGCCTTCCTGACGCGTCGATGTGCTAATGACTGCCATTGACGTCACCATTTCACGCGACGCGCCTGCCACAAACCACCAGCGCGCGCAAACAACAGCCCCTTTCATCACTCCCCCAATTTGTCTTCCATCTTTCTCCCATCCTTTCACTCATATCTTCAATAATCTACACCACTCCACTCAATTGACCTCACTGCATCCACAATGGCAGGAACACGCTCCTCTGCACGCAGCACCGATGGTGGCTCCAGCCCAGCAAAAGGTAACGATGTCGCAGCCGGTACCAAACGCAAGCCCGAAGTCGAGCCGTCTCCCAAGCGCGATCGCAAGGCGTCCAAGAAGCAAGCGACTATCGAGGAGACAATGGATACAGGCAAGGAGTCTGACAGCGAGATGAAGGACGCCTCGGATGGGGGTCAAGACTCCAAAGATGCAGACGAGGCCGAGAAGAAGGCCGCCGAAGACCTCGTGGACGCGAGCGACGCGACGGCCTTGGCTACTGGCGATGACGACAGGCCCGCATCAACAGACATGGAGACTACGGACGACCAGGCGGAACAAGACACCGAAGCCGCACCCAAGGCCGAAGAGACTACACAGACAGAGAAGAGCGAGGACAAAGCGGGTAACGCGACAAAGGAGACCAGCGCGGACGGCGAAGGCGCGATCGAGGAGTCCTCCCAGCGCGCAAAGCAAATGCCGTCCAACATCCTCGAGAAGGGCGTCATTTACTTCTTCACCCGCAACCGCGTCGGCGTCGAGGAATCCGAGAGCGTCGGCGACCTTCAACGTACCTTCTTCGTCCTCCGACCAATGCCATCCGGAGCCAAGCTAGGCGACGGTGCCCTCGCCGATGACAACAACATCCGACTGTTTGCGCTGCCCAAGAAGGTCTTCCCCAAGTCGCACAACGATAAATTCATGGCATTTGTCGAAAAGGCGAACACTTCCATCAAAGAGCTGAAGGAGAGCTTCTTTGGTGCCGACGAGTACGAGACGAAGACACAAGGCAGTCGACGCACCGAGCCTGTGGCGCCTGTAGCGGAAGGCGTGTATGCCATTACGCGCACTGAAGACCGGACCTGCCACCTCGTATACTCTACCACCATACCTTCCGAATTGGGAGAGGTTCAGGAAGACCTGGGTATCAAGGACCAGGGCAGCTTCGTCATGAGCGTCAAGAACCCTGAGCGCAGCGGACCGGCTTCAGCCCAGCTTCCTCAGAAGCCCGACTTTCCCAAGGAGTAAGTAATCCTGATATGACTAGTTGTTCATGGCTGACCATTGCCAGGTTTATCGAAGAGTTCCGCGGACTGGCTTGGGTCGAAGTCAAGCCGAAATACCTGGACTATGAGTATTGCCAGATCCTGCTCATCGGCGAGAAGATGGAGAGCGGCGTCGAGCCTACTACCAAGGACCAGAAGCATGACAAGGAAACTCCACAAGAGGAAATTGAGAAGCTTGAACATGAGGATGAGCTGCGCGTCGAGCATCTTCACGGTACGTTGTTAAGTCGCTGGCAAGTGCGATATGTGCTAATGCATTCCTAGGTGATGACTCTGTCTATGACGACCTCAAGATCAGCAAGAAGGAATACCCGCAGGTCGCGACGACCTGGTGAGGTCTATCTCAAGCTCGGCGTTACGCGATATCAACGATCTTCTCCCGAATTTACTGTACAACATCTGTATTATTGGCGCTTAAGGGCGCGATACATATCACGACATAGCCTCTGGCACGGAGTGTCGGATTCAAATGATCAAAGGAATTGATTGTAGGGTTCGGCTTTGCCCACGGCTTTGATAGCACCGAGTCGCAATATAATAATCGATTTCATCCTACGCCTCCCAATGGCCGCAATTGATATACAACTCTTCATCCCTCATCATCAGGCTGAACTTACTAATAGTGGCTCAATCGAGTAAGCCGATTGGGCAGAGCCTTGGACTCCTGTTTGCGATGCCATTGCGACAATCTCCGCTCGTCGCTCACTGCTCACCGCTGACAATATCGCGAACCTCATCACCGCGAAGCTGGTACTGGAAACAACTCGCCCCAAACTCGACTCTCTTTATCGATCTTGTACCTCACTGACACCTTCCTTACACCAACGACCTTTGTTCCATATATCGCAGCATCTCTCCCACGGTCTTCAACACTCCACATCACCATGCCTCCCTTCCCGAAGTCCATTGCCGAGGACCCCGGGTCAGTTTTCTGGCAGCTCCAGTCCTTCTCCATTGGCAAGGAGCAGAAGACCACTGTCCATACAACCCTCTTCCTCGATCGTGCCAACGCTGAGTTTGGCTTCGTCGTATACACGTCTGCTAGCATCGCATTCGTCCTCCGCTTCCCCGAGACAAACGAGCCTATCTATTTCCAGGCTAAAACCGCACGTGCAGCAGCCTGGCGGGACAAGAGCAAGAAAGTATCGATCCTGTTCCAGCATCTACAAGTAGATTTGGAGTTTGCGTCACCGGACCAAGCTCGTAGTTTCCTAGATGTGCTGGAGGATATTGCGACGGTGGCTGGCAACCATTTCTTCTACAGTTATGAAGTTCCACAGTAAGTGTAATTTTGCATTAGATGCTGTGGCTGGAACTGACATTAGCGATAGGAAGGTCGCCTTCGTCAAGCCCGACTTCGACATGGAACAGCAAGGTTTCACAAGCCGAGCTCCGCAGCCCTGGATGGCCGTTCCCGCCGACTCTTCCGAGTGGCCTCGCCTACGAAAGACAGGCGAGTGGTCAGACTTCACTGTCGCGGGTGGCAGTCAATTCCGCGTCCATCGCGTCAAGCTTTGCAAAGAGTCATACTACTTCAGAGCAGTATGCAGCGGTGGCTTCTCTGAGACCGCGAAGCAGTCCATCGAGCTTCCAGAATCAGCACAAGTCGTATCCACACTCCTCGACGAAATGTACGGTGTCTACAACCCGACGACTGGTTCCATCTTCACCAATTTCGCGCTGAGAATGGAGATTGAGAAAGAGCTCATGATGAACCAGCTCCTTGATCTCTTCATCGCCGCGGACAAGGTAACTGCTCTCGTACCTCTCTTTCCCTACCTTCATACTAACCCCCAACCCAGTACAACCTCGAGAACATCAAGCGCCGCGCCGCCGAGGCCATCATTGACCGCCTCCCCTTCATCACCGACCCGCTCATGATCGTCGACCTGGCTACATGCATCTACCACGAGCAATGCCCAGAGAACGACCGCGGATTGCGCAAGGCTATCATCGAGTGTGTGAGGATGAGGATGCCTGCCATACTACAGGATGAGAGTGCGTGGGAGGAGTTCTCGGAGAACAAGAACGTACTGAAGGCCTTCCACATGTCGCAATGTGAGGCGGTTGAGGGTGGTGGTATGATTGGGTGGGGAGGCGGAGGTAATATGATGACACCGCCTGCTACGCCTAGGTAGGGGCTTGTTTGAGAAGAGGAGGGGATGGTGGCTTGAGGGGTTTGGCTACTGGAATGCAGGAGGATTGATCTGCGAAGAGGGTGTTGGGGCGGGGTGTACTTGCGGTCGACACTCGATCGAAGACGTTTGATGCGAAGACCTTGTTTCGTTTTCACTGGACTGTCGCGCACCCTTCGAGTACGCTTCGAAGGACGATTGCGATTCTATTCACTGTACCTACGGGCCTTTCTTCTTGAGCGAATGTATTTGGCAGAGGCAATATTTGCCCATTAGTAGCAAGCCCAGCTCGCGATAGCTATTAGCACTAACTGCATTTAAACATGATGCGAGTTCATGTGCGATCGCGAAGGGTATGTCTTTTAACGGTTGTGATGTGTTGTGGGGTATTCAGCAACCGATCCGGCCTAGACCGGACACGAGCACCGTCTCACCTTCCCGAGGCCGCGAACGCGTGTCTTCATCTCTAATCTCATCAAGTCACGGCTCAGACTCCAAATTTCACGCAATACCGCGCCGCCATGGACACAATACGCATTCCGACCATGCCATAAGCGTGCGCACAGAATATAGCGGCAAGAGACTTTGATCGCCGTGACGGGTCCCAATCAAGTGAATGGGACCACCAAGCACCAAGAGAGCATAACCAAGGAACACCTAATCGAACAACTCAATTCAAGATGGCGTCATCTTGGCGACAGAATGGTGAAGAGCGGGGTGCCTACACGACTGTTGCGCAGACCGAGACTGCAAGTGCACACCTCACAGTACATGACAAAGACGTCGCAAATGAAGACGCGGATGCCGTTCCTTTTGAAGCGCCTGTTCATATTGGCTCCATACCGACAGCAGAGGATCTGCTATTTCTGCCTCGCGTAGCGGACACGCTGCCATATGGCGCTTTCCTAGTCGCCGTTGTCGAGCTTTGTGAGCGCTTCGCCTACTACGGACTCTCCGGGCCCTTCCAGAACTACATCGCCAACGAATACAACGACCCCAATGGCCTGCCTGGCGCTCTTGGCTTGAAGCAGAGTGGTGCGACAGCGATGACGAACTTCTTCCAATTCTGGTGCTACCTCACGCCTTTATTTGGCGCCGTTGTTGCGGACCAGTATCTGGGGAAGTATGCGACGATTAAGTGGTTCAGTTTGGTGTACATGGTCGGCATCGCAATTCTCTTCGTCACCAGCTTGCCGTGGGCGGTTCGAGGTGGAGCCGCATACCCTGGACTTATTGTCGCGATGCTGGTCATCGGCCTGGGTACTGGTGGCATCAAAAGCAATGTGTCGCCGTTGATCGCGGAGCAAGTGCGGTCCAACAAACCCTTCGTTAAGGACTTGCCCGGAGGAAAGCGGGTCATTGTCGATCCGGAGATTACGGTACAGAGGATCTACATGATATTCTACATGTGTATCAATGTAGGTTCGATCTCAGCGATCGGAACGACTATGTTGGAGCTACATGTTGGTTTCTGGAGTGCTTATCTTCTACCCTTGGTCATGTTCTGCGTGGGCTATGTGGTGTTGGTGAGAGGAAGGAAGCAGTATATTATCAAGCCACCTCAAGGTGGGGTGATTGGCAACTGCTTTCGCGCCCTGTACATCGCCGCAAGGAACGGCGGAGATCTTGACAAAGCGAAAGCTTCCGCTCAAGGGCACGGAAGAAGCAGGTCGAAGGTGACTTGGGACGACAAGTTTATCGACGAGTTGAAGACTGCGCTGGTCGCATGCAAGGTCTTCTTGTTCTTCCCAATTTACTGGCTTTCCTACTCGCAGATGCTGAACAACTTCGTTTCACAGGCTGGCCAAATGGAGTTACATGGCCTTCCGAACGACATCCTTCCCAACATCGATCCCGTCACCATCATCATCCTCATCCCAATCATGGACCGCCTCGTCTACCCGTTCATCCGTACACGACTGCACATCGCATTAATGCCAATAACGCGCATCTCTCTCGGTTTCCTCGTGGCCGCGCTCGCCATGCTATACGCAGGCGCTCTCCAATCAAAGATCTACGCAGCACCACCCTGCTACTTCAGCCCATCGAACTGCGACGCCGGAAAGATCAGCGAAGGCAAGTTCAAACCAAACGAAGTCCACGTCGCATGGCAAGCCCCAGCATACGTGCTGATCGCGCTGAGCGAGATTCTCGCTAGTGTTACCGGCCTGGAACTGGCATATGCGAAAGCACCCGAGAATATGAAGAGCTTCATCATGAGTCTCTTCTTGCTCACAAGCGCGGGTGGAAGTGCGCTGGGTATCTTGATTGCTCCATTGGCAAGGGACCCGCACTTGCAGTGGTTGTACTTTGGATTGGCGTTGATCGCTGGTGTTGCGGGGGTTGTGTTCTATCGCATGTTCAAAGACATTGATGACGGCCCTGCGGCGAAGTTGGCTGATGCTGGAGAGTACGAGTTGACCGGACGAGCGAGCGCTGACGATGATGGGTATTACAGCGACGATGCGGACCCTACTCAAGACTCGCAGCGCGCCTGAACTAGCACAGCCTGAGGTGGACCATCCAGCTGCATCCACCCCCAGGCCATGAGCTGGCCGCGCTTCCGCTCCACCGTTTAGATCCACCCTTCCGCGCAATACGTCCTTTTCTCTACCTTAGCTTGGACGCCTAAGCTAACATCCGTGTGGCATGCTGTCGGATCTTCCTATGCGACCAGCTGTTTCTTAGAGGCATGGTTTGAGCAGCACTAGGTTTCCATTGCCACAAAGGCATTTATAGAACATCATCTTCAACACGTAAGAGAAATGACCCTCGAATGTCTGCTGTGTAGAGAACAAGAAAAAGCATAGCCGAAAATTGGGGCGCGGCAACCTGTTGATGTCATCGTTCATTATCTCCGAAAACCGCTTAACTGCGCCAAAATCCTTCACATTCCCACTCATGTCGCGACCCTCCGACCAATCTGACCCATCAGCATTGGCTTACCTGTAGGCACGGGGTCATCGCAGTTCAACTTATGGGTTGCATCTCAGAAACATACAGTTTCAAAGTCAGAGCTGACGTTGGACCGACCTCTATGATTCGATGACGCTGTGGATTCAAGCGGACGCTCGGTTGGCGCCCTCCGCGGAATGACGAGCTCCGAACCCTTACCAACCATGGCCTCGGCCGAGCCCATTTCATCATCCGCGCTGAAGTGTGGCTTGAATAGTCCTATGTATAACGCACCAAGCCGTGGGGAAAGGCTTGTTTCCACCTGTGCCTTCTCCCCACACCCCATCCTCATCGTCAACCATGGAAAAGCTCGAGCGATTCTTGTCGCGGCCGACAGCGAAGCCATACAAGACCGGCGACATAGAAGCTTCCGAAGAAATACATCTCAACGATGAAGGGTTGCTTGAGTTCGGCCCCAATGATATCGAGAACCCTAAGAACTGGTCCACCGCAAGAAGATGGTACATCACCGTGGTGTCGGTCACCCTAGTTGTGAACGCTACATTCGCTTCGTCCAGCCCATCTGGCACGCTTGAGTCTCTATCGACAGACTTGCACGTCTCCACCGAAGCTGGGGGCCTGGTTATTACTTTGTTCCTTCTGGGGTACTGCGCTGGTCCCCTGGTTTTTGCTCCGCTCTCGGAATTCTTCGGTCGCAGATACATTTTCTACGTCACCTTTACGCTCTACCTGGCCTTCAACTTCCTTTGCGCATTCACGCCTAACTTCGGTGGGCTCCTGGTGGGAAGATTCTTGACGGGCACCTTCGCAAGTGCCCCTCTCTCCAATGCACCAGGTGTACTAGCGGACATCTGGGGACCACTGGAGCGTGGAAATGCAATGGCTGCCTTCTCCATGATGACTTTCATCGGCCCCTCGCTCGGACCCGTCATATCAGGCTTTCTCCAGCTGAAGAAAGACTGGCGATGGTGCTTTTACGTCCTTCTCTGGCTGGGTGCCTTTACTGAGATACTCATGTTCACGATCCCGGAGACACTGCCCTCAATCGTGCTCCGCAACAAAGCCAAGCGCATACGCGCCTTGAAGATCCCTGGATATGAAGAGGTCAAGGCACCAGTTGAAGTGACGGATAGGACCCTCGCAGGCATGTTCCATGTCGCCCTCACCCGACCCTGGAAGATCCTCATCGACCCCATCTCCTTCGCCGTCGCCATCTATCTCGCCGTCGTATACGCCCTGCTATACATGCTCTTCACCATCTACCCCATTGTCTTCCAACAACACCGCGGCTGGAACTCCGGCGTCGGCGAACTCCCACTCATCGGCTCTGCCCTCGGTGCCGCCATCGGCGGCGCCATCATCTTCGCGAACACAGCCAGGGATAGAAAAAAAGCAGAAGCCGGCTACAAAGCTACACCCGAAGATCGTCTTCCGGTGGCGATGCTTGGCGGCGTTATGTTCCCCATCACCATGTTCTGGTTCGCGTGGTCGGCTGAGTACAATAGCGTTCACTGGGTCGTTCCTACGCTCGGCGGTGTCTTCCTCTCGACTTCTATCTTACTCATCTTCGTCGCTTATCTCAATTACCTCACAGACACGTACCTCATGTATGCTGCGAGCGCGTTGGCAGCGAATACCGTTGTGCGCTCCGCCGCAGGAGCTGCTGCGCCGCTGTTCACGCAGTACATGTTCGATGCTCTTGGCGTCGGTGGTGGTGGCTCGCTCATTGCTGGGATGGCTTGTGTGCTTGCGCCTATTCCGTTTGTGTTTTATAAGTATGGTGGCCCGATTCGGGAACGGTCGAAGTTTGCGCCTACGCCGGAGAAGAAGGATGAGGGGAATGCTGCGAAATGATAAGCGAGAAGTCACGCCAGAAAAGCGAGTTGATACATATCATAGCTGCAAATCGAATTAGGGTTCCAATGTGATCATTGCTTCCCCAGAACGAAACGGAACTCGCCGCATCTGGTTCTTTTCGATAGTGACCCTCGTCATCTTCCACTCGTGGTACAGTTAGCAAAGTTTTTGAGCATACCGAATAGAGATTTTGAGGAAAGCGATATATGGTTCGCTAGCTGCGTGTCTGTCAACCGCCGACGAGGACGTCCGATGTTGGCCTGCTTACATCAACGGCATCCACCGGAAGCCGTTCTGTCGACCACCGGGTGCTATGTCGGCTCCATTTCGCCCGATTCTCAACGTCTGTGTCGCGCCATGGGTTTGGACCGGGAGCGCATCGTTTGCTTTGTTGTTGGCAACAGAGGACGCTCACGGGAGAGCCCGTCATGAGATCCCCCAGAAGGACGCGACTCGAGTGCGCGTGCAGGCCTGTCGTCCTTTATTATCGTGGCGAAGCATCTTCAGTCGGGCGATCTTTCGACTGCGTTCGTTGCAGCTGACGTCTGTGTTTCGTTGCGACAATGGGCGACGGCGTGTTGTTGGCTTTACGTGGCCTCGCGGTTGTCCATCCCCATCTTCTAGAAGCAGACTAGACGGGTGCGCATCACGGTTAGACATACGGCGCGAGAGCTGCTTGCCTGAGGCTAGGGTTCTGGCACGAGGCCGACGGCGTTCATGTCCACAGCTGCTAGTCTTGTTTTCTTGTGTCGAGATGAGCTTTAGCTGAGGAGCACGCCCGTCATCTTTGCAAGTGCGACGCGCATTGCGCTGACGCGACCAAGCAGTGCTGAGCGTCTGGACGCGACGCCCGTGTCGGGTGAGAAGGAACTTGCTATATTGCCAAACAATCGTGGCATACCTAGCGTAGTAAGCAATTCAATGCCCGGATGGTGCCGGTAGGGAAGAGCCAGCGTTGAGTCAATGCGTGGATGTGGAACGCGGGGGATCTTTCCAGCGACGCCCCGTGATTGGCCGAGGACGCGTTCCCCTGGTAAATAGAGTGCGCCTCGAACCCAAACACCGAAGTAAAACCACTACTTTGCCCCGCCTCGAGCCTCGTTCTGTCAGCATGGTGCTTACCGGTCGTTCTTTCGGAAAGTGAGTTTCTTGGTTGCGCATCAACGTGGTGGCGCGCACAAGGCTGATGACGTGCGGAGACGCCCGGGCTGCAGCTTCGAGATGCTTGAGAATCTGCGCCTGCCAGATGGCAGCTTGAAGGATCTGTGCGAACCAGTACCAAAGCTCAGTCTGTGTTGAAGACGCAGTCTAATCTTCATGCAGTGCGGAGGTTTTTGGAGGCACCGTCGTTGAGCGATGTAGGGCTGACGTCGGAGACGGCGGTATGTAAGATTACCTGGACATCCTTGATTAAGGCTTGAGGCTTGGGCGAAAAACCAAGCAGACTGGGCCTCTCGACATAAGATGATGGAATCGCCTTTCCAAGCGCTCTTTTCCTCAAGTTCTTCTTCATCCGCTCGCTCCAAGACTTTACCATCTCTATTTCGCCATACTCGCCCACCAACAGTCCTTATCATACTTCAGCCTCACCATCGGTTTCCGACGATGAAGAACCTCTTGGCAGCGACCGTATTGACGGCCGCGACTGCTGCTACAGCCCAGAACGCCCCTTTCGTGCAATGTCTCCAAACGGCCCTTAGCAACGATACCAGCACTTGGATGCTACCGAATGATCCGATGTTCTTGCAGGGAGATGTACACCCATACAATCTCAACTACAACATTGTTCCGGCCGCGATTTCGTTCCCAAAGACCCAGGAGCAAGTGTCGGAGGTCGTGAAGTGTGCGAACGCCGCAGGAGTTGCGGTCCAGGCGCGCAGCGGCGGCCATAGCTATGCGAACTATGGTAAGCCTGAACCCAGAAGGACGACTTGCGATTAAGAACTTGCTAACACGAACGTCGTATATAGCACTGGGAGGGTTCAATGGCTCATTGGTGGTTGACATGAAGAACATGGCATCTTTCTCGTATAACGAGGGTGACCACACGGTGACTTTTGGTCCAGTAAGTCACTCCCCGATACCACACACGTCTAAATGTCTTCTGTCGTTTCTCCCGCTGACTTGTGCGCCTTTCACAGGGAAACCTTCTCGGCAACATCTCCGAGAAGCTTCTACCTCTCAAGCGGGTTATGGCATACGGTGAAGTAGCCGTCATCGGCACGGGTGGCCACTTGACCATTGGAGGTCTCGGAACGCTCAGTCGCCAGCTGGGCGTGGGAGCCGATCAAATCGTGTCAGTGCAATGTGTGCTCGCAAACGGCACCGCCGTGACAGCTAGTGCAAGCACAAACCCCGACTTGTTCTTCGCCATCCGAGGCGCCGGTTTCTCTTTCGCTATTGTCACAGAGTTCACTATGAAGACTGCACCCGCGCCGACCGAGATCACCAAGTACGCTTACACCATCGCGGCCGACGACGCAAATGCCTTCGCAAGCATATTCCAAAAATGGCAGAAGTTTGGCACGCAGAAGAATCTCGACCGCCGGTTTTCCAGCACTATGACTCTCAGTCAGGGCTCGATGGTCATCAACGGCAACTTCTACGGCCCAAAGTCCGACTTCGATAAGCTGAACGCGCAGTCTATCCTTCCTGCTAATACCTCAACCGTCGTTGTGGACATCACCGTTGGCGAACTTCCGTTCCCAGGACTCGGCGACCCAGACCTGACAGCCAGCGGCAGCTTCCCCATCCCGTTCTATGCCAAGAGTGTCAAGACGCCAAGTCACAAACTGCTGTCGGACGAAGCTATCAAATCCATGTTCTCCTACATCAATGGCACTGAGAAGGGAGCGCCCGTGTGGCTCGTCATTTGGGATCTCGAAGGCGGCGCCATCGCCGATGTACCGCAGACCGCTACCGCATACTGGCACCGCGACGCCGCCTACTTCATGCAGAGTTATGTCGTCAATCTTGGAGGACCTGTCACCGACGCCTCCAAGACTTTCCTGTCTGGCCTTAGCAGCTTGGTGCAGAAGGAGACGTGCGATCAGGGCGCGTACCCAGGCTACGTCGACCCTGAGCTTGCGGACCCTCAGCAGGCCTACTGGGGTGGCAATGTGCCTCGCTTGCAGCAGATCAAGGCTGCGGTCGATCCTGATAATGTCTTCCGCAATCCTCAGAGTGTGCCGACTCAACACCAGGCTCAGCAGCGTCGTCAGGTCTTTGTAGGGTCAGCGGTACAGTCCTACGCAGGGCAGTTTGGTCTGTTGGTTTCCTGCATTCTGTTGGCGGCAATCTTGTATGTTTAATCGTACATAACCTAGAGACTTGTGTAGAAGACTTTGCATGTGGTAGTCGTAATAAAATGCAGATTACGAAATTACAGCACCCTGCAGTGACCGTTGTATTCTTGGAGGTGGTCCCCCAAAGACCCAAATATATCGATTGAAGTGCGGTTGCGAGAATGCGAGGCGAAACTAATGATGCGATTCATGCGGGTTAGATGATGATTGTAAGCCTGCTGCGTTCGCGTGAAGTTGCATGCGGCGATTCGGGCGCTTGGGAAGGCACGTGCCAACGTCCCAACACTTTGCCTCACCACCAACAATGGACCCGTCTCAACCTTTCCTCACCACTTAAACAATGCCCTGCGTGACAACGTATACCACCATCGCGACCAGACCGCACTCCGATTAGTGCTGCAACACGTCTTCGCGAATCGTCGCGATGACAGCTGCGATGAGTGCGACCTGCCTGATGCCACCGCTGCTGTGCCACGAGGCTTGACGCGTCGAATAGACGGGAAATGGCTTGACGCGCACAAGCTGCCTAGACTGTGTAATTTACATAAGCTTCCCTTATTGCGCCTGTCGCTATCGCAAAGAGAATAGGTGCAGCTTAGGATGTCTGCAAGAGCTGCCGACGACTCCATAGGCGGCAAGCCTGTTCACAGCGAACCAGTATACTTGCGACTGCGAATGCAAGCAAGAGTTGTGTATGCTGACGCGGACGAATGAGAGCCTGTACAGACCAGCCACAACTACCCCTCCGAAGCTGAACGGGCATCACGCCAGGCTGCATCATGAACCGGAACTGGTGCCAGCTGGATCATAAAAGCGTCGTGTCGCCTCATTTCCATTCCGCAGCGCAAGACAACCACCCACTGTCGCCATCATGTTCCATGTATGCGCTAGCAGCCTAGACGAAGGAGAGGAGGTGAACTTCAGCGGCGGTCTGGTCGAGATCGCGGCTCTGACTGCTGTGATCGGGGGCTCGACTGCTGAATTGATTGCTCTAGGGAATCGCGGCGCTTGCGGTTTGCCATGGGCGGCTTTGAGCTCCTTTGGGTCGATCTTCATCGTCAAAGCATGCATATCCGCCTGCACACCAGGATGGCTTCGAGATACCGTTGGTGTGAGAACCAGTGGCTCTGATAAGGCTATTGGGTGTTGCATGAGTCTGAGTAGGAAGGCAAACAGTCGCGTAGTCACTGGCAGTGCTGTTGGAGTGACGGCGAAATGGACCAAGGTAAGTCAAAATTAAGAAGCACATACGGGGACATGTCTAATCGACTTCAGACCAGCGAAGGTTCTACTTTGATAACCGCTGGGAGAGAAGATTTCGAAGATGTTTACGCTTTCGATGAATGGACGGCCGGCCCGTTGCGATCTTGTGCAGTAATGCAACCTGGGGAGCATCTACAAGCTCACGTCTACATGCGAGATCATTACTGGGAGATTGTACAACGCTCACAGACCAGAAACGACTGGATTATTACGTTTGCAACCTTGCTGAAGGTCGTAGAGATGTATCTGCTCTACCACTTCGGCTCTCGACGCGTCTTCCTGGTTACTGGAGTCATCTGGGCGTACACCTTCTTCTCGGCGATCGCGTTGCAGTTGTTTCACGTCGGAAGAGCTACAACACCTGGCGAGCAGTCAAGACATTTTGATGTCGTCTCTGGGTCGCTGCCTACACCGCAAGTGATCGGGGGAGAGCGCAGGATTCTCCTCGGGGTACCTGTCAACCTTCGCAGAGGTCGCGCGTGGCAGATATTCTGGATTATAGGCGCCGCCGTTTGCATTACTTCCCTTCTCGGCACATACGCCGTTCTTTCGAATGAGCCGGCCGTTTGTTTCCGGATCTGGCTTGGTTTCCAGGTCATCTGGCTTGCGCTTCGATCGATCTTCTTTCACTTCGCACAGCAGGTAGACGACATGAAACACATCATTACACCGAACATAAACGGACGAGAACCGGCCACCCGAGTTAAGTTTGCGGCTACTCGGACTGGCGGTTGGGGTGTCGAAGCACCAGATCCTGAACCACCCCCGCGGCGTGCTTAGCTATGCGAACGACGCACAAGATCCCGTGATTATTAGGAGGCTCTTGAGAGACGCTAATCTGGAATACACAGATTACTTCGAGCTTCCAACGCGCGCAGATTCAAGATCGGAGCTGGGCGTCACTGTGGTCGGCGTCATTGGTGACACTTTACTCTCAAGTGTCGCATGGCTCATGGGCTCGCCTCTGGCCGGGATGGATCTTTACGATTCATGTATTTTGGCTGTCCGTGTCTCTGGCGCAATACAACTGATACCGTCGTGTCGCGTGCTCTCCGGTCGCATCGCCGACGAACAAGTCCCGGACCCCGAGACGACGTTGCCTTCCAACTTCCGACCCAAAGGCGCAGCGAACGAGGGTTACAACATTAGCTGGCGGTACTGGATACCATGCGGCGGGAAGAAGTGGTTGTGGTACAGCACACCGTGGGCGACTACCACAAAGGTCGACTTGGGTATCACGGGTACGAAGAAGATGACAGTCACGACAGGAGATGACATCACCAAAGAGCTCTTGTCCGGGACGTTGCAGATCAGTATGAGCGATGTACAAGCCGTTGAAGATGCTATCGCGCAGTCTGCGAGGGCGGGTACAATTCTGCAAAATATGTTAAGAGAAGATTTCACACGATTCGAGAAGAGCGCAGAATCGTAGCACGATAAAAGCAACGTCAATGCGGCCACAAGCATTGCTCCGAACCCGACCGAGCCCGACCGAGCATCATCCAGGCTGTACCCTATGACGGAAACTAGAAAAGGTTCCCCGTACGATAACTGCACAAAACGAGATACGAGATACGATGGTTTGTGGGGAAGTCCCCGTGCGGGGTACCCGGCTGCCCAGAAAACCTTTAGTTTCAAGAACGCTCCGACTGAACTGGCCAATGGTGAGCAAATATCTGCCGAAGCTACATCGCGTCGGTTACATTTGCACCGAGAGGCACCATTCCATCGGCTATTCCTTCTCCACCACCTTCCGACCATCAGTTGTTGTTGTAGGGACGACCGCTGGTTATAATCATGGTCCGGCCGCATTGCCAACGAAAGCCCTGTCAAGATCACCTCGCACGGAAGCAGCGATGGATCTTCTTCAGCGTTTTGCGATTATAACAATTCTTGTCAACCTATTGACGACTGCGTAAGGCTCCAGTGATACATACAGAAGACCGTCCACTCACATAATAGCTTCGTCGAATATGGCTCAATTGCACCTCAATCACAGCTACAGCAATCTGCACCCTCATCATCGGGCTTGAAGCCGTGGACGAACGAAACCCTGATCCTATCGCCAGATAGCCCACTCGTTACACTCGACTACGGCACTGAGGTAGCCGGCTTCCCGTTCTTCCACGTTTCAGCAATTTCTGGAACGGTGCAGATCGAAGTAAAGTACAGCGAAGAATACCGTGGCGTGGAAGAGCCCTTCTCGGACGGGCCTTGGACATTCTCGAATGGACTATCCAACTCTTTCCGAGTAGAAACTTTCAACGTCACGGAAACGGGATACATCGAGAGCTTCTTCGTCCAAGGAGGCCAGCGATGGCAGACCGCACGGTTGATTACGAATGGCTCCGTCACCATTGATCATCTGGGATTTCGTGCAACAAGCTCAAAATTGGACGCCGAAATGCTACCAGGCCGCTTACAGACATCCGATAAGAATTTGAATCGCGTCTTGGACCTTGGAGGTCGCGTCGCTCAAGTAGCGTGCGTAGATGCCGGAAATGCGCCATCCACGTGGGAGATCACAAAAGAAGGAGCATATATCCGGGGCCAAACCAGTGCGCAATCCTCTCTAGGAGTTGACGCAGTCAATTATACACTGGAATTTGACGTAAAGATCGCCCGCGGCGGCGCAGGCTGGAGAGTAGCAAGTGCAATGCCGCCACTTGGGCCTTACTTCGTGCTTACATCCGAATACCCTGAGCGGAACACGTTCGCAAACACAAACCGGACTCTTTTGCCTCCAAACACACTGGCATTCACTACTGGATGGAGTCTAGTAAACCAGAGCACACTACCCGTGCCAGAAGCCCAGTACTTTACTATCAACACAACCATTAAGGAGAACATGTGGTATCGCGTGCGCACATCGATCGAGGAGACTGGATATCGGGTGAGCATAGACGGAACCGAGATTGCGTTCATACCTTTACCTCCGCCTGCACCCCCCGGGAACTTTGGCACACCTTCTCGATACCAGGGCACATGGGGCTTCGGAGGCATGCAGGATCAGATCGCATATCACAAAGACGTAACAGTCACTGCTGGAAACGGCACTACCACATATCGCAATTCCCTAACGAGCGAGGAGACCTTGGCCGAGTATCAGGTCGCACCTCTGGAACACTCAGTCTGCGTAGATGGTGCCAAACGGGATCGGCTAGTCTGGACAGGAGACTTCTACCACACTGTGCGTGTTGTCGCAGCTTCATCTGCTCGATTTGACTACCTCTTGGGCACCATCATATACGCGCTGAGCTTTCAGCTTGATGATGGCCCGTACGCCGGCTTTACCCAAATCTCTACGAATCTTGGAGCCCGCCCCCAGTACAAGGAAGCAAATATCGCAAACTACGCTGGGTTGGTGGACTACCAAGACCTATTCTTGGCAGGAATCGGCCAATACTTCCGCTACACCGGAAACCGCGACGGGCTGAAACCTCACTGGGATCAGATCAAGAAACTTGCCACTGCGAGATTGGCTTTCATTGACCCTACCTCTGGTCTCATTGGAGGTTCTCCGGAGGTGCCATCGCCATTCAGCTTCCTGGGGCCAGCCAACGGTAGTGCAACGACCGGTCTCTTCGCTTACATGCTTGAGGAGATCGCGCCACTTGCGCTTGCGATGGGCGACGAAGAGTCTTCGGCACAATACTCCCAAATAGCAATCAAGCTGCGCGAGGCCCTCAATCGTGAGCTATGGAATGATCAGCTCGGAACATACTCACTCTCAACCACCGATCGAGGCAATTTCTCCTTGACTGGTATCGCCTGGGCAATCCTGTCTGGTGCGGCCAACGACACCCAAGCAGCATCTTCTATTGCGAAGCTTGAGGAGCTTCGCTTCGCAGTAGGCTACAAGACCATCTCGAGTGACATAGAGACAGACGACTATCAGCTTGCTCCCAATCCATCAGGCTTTCTGTTGGAAGCTCTATTCAAGTCAAGGCGCGACTTCGGAGTGGACAGCACACCTGCTATCAAGCATCTGCTCGACAGTCTATGGGGTAGCATGGTCAACAAGAACGAGTATTACTCTGGCGCGAGTTGGGAATACGTAAAGCCTGATGGTTCACCTGGTATCGATCTCTTCACTAGCTTAGCGCATCCGTGGGGTGCAGCTCCGACGTATGTACTGCCAGAGTACCTTCTTGGCGTCGCTCCAACCTCTCCCGGGTACGAAACGGTTCTTATCACTCCCATGATAGGATTGCTGGATCAGTATGAAGTCAGCGGGACGGTGCCGACACCCAACGGACCGATCAAGGTGGCGTGGACGTTGAGCGGCAAGAGCGTTGCTTTCACGATTGTTATACCGACTGGTACGGCAGCTACACTACAATTGCCAGCTGGCGCGACTGCGGTCGGCAGGAGCTTGCGCAATGGACAACTTGAGCTTCGTTGTGGAACGATGGGATTGAGAATAGATATGGAGAGCGACTCATAGATAGAAGAAGAGAGATGAAATCATCTACCGCCGCCATCAGTTCTCATGTATGCAATGACAGCCTCTTTCATCCGCGCGAGAGTTTACTACTATACACCTCTAGTCCTTGGGCGCTTTGTACTGACTTCGATCTGGCTCCCTGTTGCTAAACTGCCGGCGCTGGTACATGATCGCTCTCTCGTCGAACTGCCAATTCGTCCACATCTGATTCTGTACTTTGTCCGTCGACTGCGGAAAATACTCAACTTTCATCTCTTCTCCATCTTCCTCGACAATGCGCGCGACGAAGACCAGATCTTCTTCCTTCGAGAATTCGTTGAGGAAAACAAAGTACTGGTCGTTCACAGGCGTGTCAACCCTGAACTTCTTCTCATCCGTGTCTTCGGCGCGTGGCATCGCTTGCAACCACCTTGCGCAATCTTCGGGCATCTTGCCGAGCCAGGGCGAGACGAAGGAGGATGCGACGGGCGGCTCGGTGCCGCCGGTGGGAGAGGGCTTGTGAACTTCCTGGCATGCGGGTAGGTCGTCATAAGAACCGGTCGCCACCCAGAAGTCCCAGTCCTCACCACCGGCGCCATGGTAGGCGCGCTCAAGGGCGGAGTTGAGATACTGTGATTGTTACTATCGTGCACATGGTCAATAGATGCAGCGGTGCTGACCTCGTTGGTGATGCTCTTGTCGAGGACGAAGAGCGCGTAGGGAGGGTCAGACATATTGCTTGTGCAAGGTTGTGGTTATTATTTGAAAGTCAGAAAGCTACAATGTCTGCGGAGTTATTGTTGCGACGAAGTCGCGGCCTTAATGGTCTTACTATTCACTGACGTCACATGCGTTCGCAGGTGCAGGCAGTGAGGCGGAGCGGATGCCTACGCGAGGCCCCCCGCTGCGCAGCTGCGCCGCACCTTATTCTTGACCTGCAGCTGCACCGTAAGCTCAGACGTGGATCTCGAAACTCCAGAACGTCCAACGCAGCGAATCATGGCTGCATCAAGAGCATGGTTGTGTAGGTATCGCAATCTTTTTCGAGGTACATGTACTCAGCCTTGTCGCACATTGTTGGCGGCAACGTAGACAGACCCACGATCACTCGTACACGCTGACTATGCCTACCATCGCCCGGCTCCTAGCCCCCCGACAACCCACCTTTCCAGACATTATAATTACCTACACATGTGGCCGTGTTGCTCGAAGTGGTCAGGCGTTCTTCCCACTCAAGACATGTCGGGGCTGTTTGACCTGTCAGACTTTGACTTTCAAGTCTACGCTGATGGACGCCTGGGTACTATGTTGAGAATGAGCACCACGAGAGTATAGTGTCTTGTGGGAACGTGTTATGCAGCCCCCAAGATACAGCCGCCAGGATCGAAGTACCATGACCATGAGGGTAGAATGCGCTGAAGTAGACCTAGTCTCGCACTGGTATAAAAGAGGTTGCAACATCCTACTGATGTTTCTTCACTACCAGCACATTTCTCCAGCTTCATAGCTCTCTCCGTTATCAGTCTTCTTCTTTCTCGCATCTTGAACGCAGTTTGCGCTTTTGACTTCCTCCAGAGCCTTCCAATACCTTACTCGTCAAACAAGTCTGTTCCGTTGCCCAACATGCATTACATCGTGGCCATCTCTCTGCTGCTCCAGGTTTCGATGGGCTTGGAGCAGGGCAACAACATGCCCGACATAGTAGCACCCGGAAGGGCAGACAGAATGTTCGTGAAGCGCGCTGGGAAGGATTACGGCAAACAGACTGTAAGCTGTGTCGGTGGAGAGGGTGCTTGCAACAATGCTTGTTACTACATCAATTGCGTGGTTAGTGTTTGCCAGCTCACTCTCTTTGAACTCGAACTGATTTGTGTCTGCGGTAGGCCCCAGCCGCCGGTATCCAGAATCCAAGCAGAATCGTGTACGTCGGGCCCACCAAGGGCAACGAGTTGGAGAAAGCACACAACCGACAGGCATCTGGGTGCTCTGCTGGAGGCAAAAGCCCTTGTGGCGAGTTCCCCTTCAGCCAGAAGTTCAGCGACAAGACAGCAGGTCCGGGTGAATACGATTGTGATGAATGGCCACCTGCAATGTCTCAGCAGTTACCATTCGGCGATCCGAACCGACTGGCGCCAAACAGTCTACGCTGCATGGTAGCTGACGAGAATCAAGACATCGGTCGCAAGCTGGGTCGCATTGTAACAAGCAACGGTATGGTCCGCGACGACTTCTTCGACGTGGACTTTGACATCACTGGTGCTGATCAGAGCAAACTCGCATTCTGTCAGCCAAACCCAAACCCAAGAGGTGTCTGCGGTTCCGACGGCCTGCAATTCGAGCTCATGGAGAAGACGTTCGCTTCCGGCAAGCTCAGCAGTTACTACAACCGCAATGGCGACGACAACAAGTACATATTGACCGACACTGCCTACGCGGAGCTGTACCAATGCGGCGTCGAATTCACTCGCGACGGCGATGCGACGATCAAGGACATCAAGCTTAGTGACTGGGAGAACAAGGAATCGACGCCAGCTCAGTGCAACTTGCCCAACAACAACGACTCGTGCGACCTACAGGGTCTCCCCAACGACCTACGAGTAAAGCGCACCGGCAACTTTGGTACCAAGCTGGAATTTGAGTACTCGCCAGTCCAAAAGGGCGTCAACTACTTCGATTGGGACTCGGATATGAAGGGCAACGGTCGTGGTCCATGGACTGGGAACGATGATACGGACCCGACTGCGCAACCCTTGCGCTTCTGCAAGGTTGTTCATGGCAGTGCACCGAATACGCAGAGCTTCAACTGCTGGTTCCCTTGCTACAAGAATGCGGACGGTAAACCCTAGATATTTTGGCGGGACCGTGTGGCGAGGCGATGGACAGTTCTTGGGGGGGATTTGCATCGCAGTAGAGGCGTTTGGGAGGGGCGTTTGGTATCGCGTTCGGCGACAGCATATATGTGGACAATCGTTTTGCAATGTATAGACTATGTGAGGAAGCGCGCATCCAAGTTCGTGAGAGTGCCCACGTGAATGCTGACGCGCTAACGCGTGACGTCATTGGCGGCTTCCCCGCGGCGAAACGCACTGCCTCTTGACGCTCCCCGACACCCACACGAGAACATCGCGCCTCCACACTATACTGCCATACCTCACTCGATATTGACTATGCGCTCTGGCACGGAAGGGTTGCGCGCTGCGACGTCTGGCTGAGAAGCGCATCTACGAAACCATCGACCTCGGCACGATCCACAGCCTCCATCATCCAGCCTTCATTTACTGAACCGGTATGCGCGCGCGCGGGCGGCCGAAGAGCTCAGGCTTCGGTAATCCCACGACTTGAAGGATCTGGAGGAGAGTATGAATAGGCGCAAGACGCTCGACGAGCGCGTCGCACATATGGTCAACCTACGCGACGCGAGTGGGACAACGAGAGCCTGCACATCAACGGCGGCGACTAGGCGCAGGGCGAGGGGCCGGGCGCATGAGCTAAGGACAATATACAGACGTGCAGGAAGATACAGAGGAGTTAAGGGCAGCGTTTGAGCTTGCATGCACCGAACGTCTACTCGAAGCGCAGCCTATACAGGCAGAGAAGAGGCCTAGAGATGCCGTCCACAGAGCGGTAGGCCTAGCGTCACGGGAGCGTCGCATAGTCTACTCGCACAGCGTCACGACGCACTTCTCGGACCTCGACGGCTCCTACTGCCTGTTCTACTACCTAACTATCCGCTATATTTATAACTATCGCGTTTCTTAGAAGAAGAACGTTATAGAGTTTATAGTATATAACCTAAAATACTTCTATTATTACTTATCTTCTATAAGTGTATAATTTATCTAGTAGCTCTACGCGCTACTTTAAAGTAAGAGGCCTAGAGAGTTAGATCTACTCTAAATAAAAAAGACCTTTCTAGTTACTCTTTTAAATAGATTTCTACTACTACTATAATTACTTATCTATATATTTAGTACTAAAAGAATTATAATTAAAATTATATTACTTCTATCTTTTTAGAATTTACTATCTACGTACTATTACTTTATTATATATAATATAGTAGTATAGCTATTATATATTTATACACTTTATATATACTAATTTTAAAGTAGATTATCTTTAATACTTTAATAAACTAAATATTTAGCTTATAGATAAAGCTACTATTATTATTATATAGTAAAGTATATAGTACTAAAAGAATTATAATTAAAATTATATTACTTTTATATTTTTAGAAATTAAACTCTATATACTTTTATAGTATTATATATCTTATAGTAGTCTAGCTACTATACGCCTATACGCTTTATATATACTAATTCTAAAGTAGATTATATCTAATACTCTCTATCTATATACTTTATATCTTCTTTTATCTTCTTTAGGTCTAAAAGATAGAGTCTATAGCGTACTTTTTTTAAAATTATATAATTATATAATTACGTAATAACACGTTACTATATTAGACTCTAAAAGTAAACTTAAAAATCTCTAATATAAGCTAGATTTATAACTTATAATACTTATACCTATACTACTTCTACTACTAATATAATAGTTACTATACGTAATTATAATAAGCTAACTACTTTATATTTATTATATATTACTAATAGCTATCTAGACTATTAACTAGTACTAGCACTAGTTTTATATAATTACGTAATACTAAAAAGAAACTAAGTAAGTCTATTACTAGTATAAAGTCTCTAAAATAATCTAAGATACTTATATAATATCTATATAATATCTATATAAATACTAGTAACTTATATTTTATATATAATTATCTATAAGCTAGCTATATTAGCTATATTATATAACTACTACTTACTATCTATATTTACTCTTATCTACCTACCTATCTATTCTCTATCTATACTAATAACTTCTAAGCTTTTATAGCTATAGTCTAAACTTTATAATAATACTTAGGTTATTTATAATAGTATACTATACCTATCTAATATAGGCTTTTTTATAAAGTACTATTTATACCTTAGCTTAATAATTATATACCTAATAGAGATAATAAAGAATCTTTATCTTCTACCTATTATATATACTATATAATATAGCTTTAATAAAGTTATATTCTTCTACTATTAGAGCTACTAGTAGTACTCTAAAAAGCTTAGCCTTTATCTACTAAAGCTATATATACTATATATTTATAAATCTCTATTTAGTGTATAAAAGGTTTAGCCTCTACTTTATAAATAGTCTATCTAGTATAAAAAGAATAACTAATACACTAGAGCTACTATTAAGTATTTCTAGTATTCTCTTTACTTCTAGATTAAATCTAGTAGTATCTAGGTTCTTTTATATATTTCTAATAGTAAATATTATTATACTCTTAATAAAAAGAATAGACTTACCTAGAATAGTACTTAAACTATTCTTATAGTTACTTACTACTATAATTAGTATAGTAAGAGCTATTATATACTTAATAATAAAACACTTCTTAGAAAAGTTATTAAAAGTACTAATTATAATATTATTTATTATAGAAAAAAATATCTTTAAGAGAATATTAGTATTAGTATTAAGTTTAGTTAGAGTAGTACTTTAGTATAGAGTTCTTAGAGATATAAGAAGTTCTTTAAAATAGAAAGTTATTAGATAAAGAAAAAGAAAAAAAAGAAAAGTATTTTTTATATATAAAGCTTTTTATAATTCTCTCTAGGCTACTATTCTCTATACTATAGTTTATCTACGTAAATATCTTTTTATATTTTATAGTAGTATAGTACTATAATTTAATAGTAGTATAGTACTATAATTTAATATTACTTTAGATCTAAAGTTTACTTATATAGCTATCTAGACTTCTATCTATCTACTTCTATAGCTAAGAGAAAAGCTCTACGCTTTAACTTTTACTTTTTCTACTAAGAGCTTTTTTTTAAAAAGCTTTTATATTAACTTTTAAGAATATTTTAATATTTCTATAGCTTTATAGCTCTATTTTATCTATTACTACTTTTAAGTCTACTTCTAAGTCTACTAGAAACGCCTCTATTACTATTACCTCTATAAGTATATTATTATTATTATTAAAGTACTATATCTATAGTAAATATTAGAAAAAGAGTTTTATTAATATCTATAGCTATATATAGTAAGTATAAGATATTTAGAAAATATATTTATATTAAAATTACTATATAGAGTTACTAACTACGTTTTATTACTTTACTCTATATTAATACTTTACTATAATATTTTCTTTTACTTTATATACTTTTTATTTTATATACTTTTTTATCTTTTACGCTCTTTTATCTTTTATACTCTTTTATTTTTTATACTTTTATATCTTTTATACTTTTTTATCTTTTATACTCTTTTATCTTTTATACTCTTTTACTTTTTATCTTCTTTTATATACTTTCTTTTATCTTCTTTTTTACTTTATTTTATCTTATTTTATTTTCTAAGTAATACTAGCGTATTTTATAAGCTATTACTTATACTTTAGTATTTTTATCTTTTCTTCTTTCTTCTTTTTATCTTACTATTTATTAAGTATATAGTAAGTTAATTATAAGACTAAAGATTATTTTAGACTCTAATACTAATATATAGCTAAATTACTAGTAGTTAGAAGTTTAATAATATTAGACTTTACTATATTAAACTAACTATCTTCTACTAAAGTAGAAATAATAGTAGAAATAATATATCTACTAGATCTAGGTAATAAGCGTTCTTATATAAAAGTAATTACTATTACTAAGAATATAATCTACTTATATTATTCTAAGAAAAAATCTAATAATCTAAATAATCTATACTATCTTATCTATTATATTTATAAACTTTCTCTAGAACTCTAGAATAGTATCTATAAGTTTTATCTTCTAACTAAACTAAATACTTAAGTAGTGCTAAAGCTATTACTATCTAATAATTACTTTCTTAGCTTAGAAATTATTAATAAAAAAATAGTTATATACTTTATATAGAAGTTAGATCTTACGCTATATTATATATTACTATAGATCTACTTAGAATTTAAGTATATTTTTAACTAGTAACTTCTTAAATAGTATCTATTATTTATATAAATAGTACTAAGCTATAGAGATAGAGAATTAGAATCTACTTATCTATAAGACTATTTCTTCTATACTTTAGTCTCTTTACCTAATTATAGAAGTAGTAAATTCTCTCTAATTCTATAAGCTAGAACTATAACTAGTTTACTTTTACTAGTAGCTATAGAGATATTACTACTTTAGAATAGTTACTATACTATAGACTTTACTCTTAATTTTAATAAAGTAACCTATCTAGCGCGCTTAGTTCTTTTATCTTTAGTTCTAGAATAGATTTTACTAAGAAATAAAATTAAATATAACTTCTATAAACTAAAGCTTTCTATCTATTTTTTTTTTTATTATATAATAATATAGCTTTTACTTAATAGAAAAGTTATAGTATATATAGTACTACTACTCTTAGATAATATAAATAGATATATAACTCTAAACTTTATATATAATATATACTATTAGTATTAGATATATAGACTTTAAGTTAAAGTCTACTATAAGTAGTTTATGCTACTCTAGTTTTTAGTACTTACTTAGGTTAAAGTCTATAAGATTCTCTAGATAATATCTAGGTTAAAGTTCTAAACTTTAATCTTTTTATAAGTATTCTATAACTACTAATTCTTTTAACTTTATACAAAGTAGATATACTTCTATATAAGTAATAATATACTTATATATTCTATATAATTCTAACTATAGAGTAAAACATCTACTAGCCTATAGTTAGAGTACACGTAGGTACTAAAAACTATTTACTTCTTATCTAGATATAAAAC